CGAAAGACTACAATCTACTCCACCGTTTACATTTATTGGCATTGACACGTTTGGTCCATGGAACATTTTGACGCGTAAAACCAGAGGTGGTCAAGCGAACAGTAAACGCTGGGCAGTGCTTTTTACCTGCCTCTACACTCGAGCTATACACATCGAGGTGATTGAAGAGCTCTCATCATCTTCTTTCATTAACTGCCTACGACGATTCATTTCTCTGAGAGGAAACGTAAAGGAAATTCGATCTGATCGTGGCTCAAATTTTGTGGGTGCGACAGATAGTTTGAATACTAATGTTGTTAACGTTGAGGATGCAGCCATCAAACGTTTCTTGGACAATAGTAAAGTAACTTGGATCTTTAACCCCCCACACTCCTCACACATGGGAGGAGTGTGGGAACGTATGATTGGTATCACTCGCCGGATCCTCGATTCTATGATGATGGACATCCAATCAAAACATCTGACTCACGAAGTCTTCATAACTTTAATGGCTGAAGTATGTGCAATTGTCAACTCAAGACCGATCTTTCCCGTATCAACTGATCCGGACTCTCCAACTATTCTAAGTCCAGCTTCCTTGATAACTCAAAAGACGAATCAGATTCAGTCAAGCTTTGGACCCTATGACATCAAAGATCTTTATAAATCACAGTGGCGTTGTGTACAACATCTCGCAAACATTTTCTGGCAAAATTGGAGAAAGGAATATCTCCAACAGCAACAAGTGAGTCGTAAGTAGCAAAATGCGACACCTGATCTTACGGAAGGTGATATCGTTTTAGTGAAAGACCAGATCGTCTCGAGATGCGAATGGCCAATTGGGATAATAGTTAGCGCTATTAAAAGTTTTGACAACAAAGTTCGCAAAGCCGAGGTTAGGATCTTCAGAGATGGAAAACGACTGACTTATACAAGACCAATATCTGAGTTAGTCCTGCTACTCCATGAGGAATAAACAGTACATTTGTTGAACTTTGAACTTGTCCGTGTCTTCTTTTTTAATATGAGTGACACATCAGTTACGTTTCAGAAAGAAATAATTATATTTGACAATGTATGATTTCATTTTTTTTTTATATATATAGTGATATACTAGTATATCAGGTGAGGAGTGTTCTGGCACCTTTTCTGTCGTAATTTTGGACTGCGCTCCATAGGTACAATTTTGCTTATTATCTACCTTTAGATTTGTATACACATGGCATGTAACGCTAGTCAAACTAACATTTTGGTTCCTGTGGATAACTATAGTGTATGTATGACTTAATTACTTTATTTTTGAGATAATGTCATGTTGCAGAACGCTTACCTTTAATAATTTAGTTGTTCGATTGATATTTTCAGTAATTTGAGACAAATTGAGCCGTCGCTCTTGATAATTGTGTAGTTTTGATAAATTCATATTTTTTGTATGAAATAAGCCCGTTTTAAATCTTAATTGATATTTCCCTTGGTCTATATCAGAAATCTAAGCCTTTGAGAAATTTATATCATTTTTGTACAAGGGTTATGCTCGAAAATTTTCTGTGTATGGAACGCAAAAGGTGTCTAAATTTTTGTATTTTTGATGAAACTCGATTTTTCTGTTAAAACAAGTGCTTGAATGCGTTTTTCTTTGTATTTTGTAGCTTTTTACCTGCATTACGTCCAATTAAGATTATTTGAAGACCTGTCTTATATTTAATTGACTACTGTTGGATCTAATCCGGTACATACTTTCTGTGGTGACAGAACATAAGTTGAAGATAAAAATAACGAGATGTGGTATGAGGCAATGAGACAACCATCGACAAGAGACATATGACATAGATGTTGGCAACTATAGGTCCCCGTACGGCCTTCAACAATGAGCAAAACCCATACCGCATACCGAGCTAGAAATTGCCCCGACATAACAAATGTAAAACTATTCAAACCAGAAAACCAACACCGTGATTTATGTACAAAACAACAAACGTAAAACAAATATGATATTCATGTACAGCAATAAACGACAACCACTGAATTACAGGTTCTTGACTTTGGACAGGTACATAAGTACTACTGTGGAGGGTTAAACATGTTTGCGGGTGCCAAACCCTTTCCCTAACTTGGAACGGTGGTGAAACAGCACATCATAAAAACGAACTATAAAAATCAGTTGAAAAGTGCTTGAAGTTCTATTTTGAATTGTTTCACATTTGTCATTTCTGGGCCTTTCATAGCCGTTTATAGCTTACGGTGCGGTATGGGTTTTCCTCGTTGTTGAAGGCCGTGCGGTGACTTATATTTGTTAACTTCTATGTCATTGGATCTCTGGTTGAGAGTTGTCTCATTTGGCAATTCTACCACATCTTCTTATTTCTATATAGACTCATCAGATCAATACAGAGCAAAAGAAATAACAAAATCACTAAAGACACAAAGTACCGATCAGAGAGTACTCGCAGTTACTGACAGCTAATTCCAAGGTAAGGATAACTTATAAAATAGTCAAGGAAAATATGCCCTTGTGCAATGCCAAAAATATAAGAATCGACAGGATGTAGAATCGGAAGACTTTATAACTGTATAGTAATACATATTTTGTTCTGTAATGATTCATTAATAAGAAAATCAATGTAAGTACACTCTAAGTATCAAATATTCAAAGATCTTACTACATTTTGTACAATGTTAAATTTATAGCCTTTGAGAATAAGTTTATTCAAAGGAGCGAAAAGCTTACATGAATTATATATAAATTTATGGTCTCATAAAATAACATCACCGTAAAATTTAGGACGCGATATTCCGTTAGTAATTGTTTTTCATAAACAAACAAACAAACTTCCAAACCAAATCTTTGTATATATAACAGAATTTAGCAAAGGTATGAAGTTATATGTGGTAAAGAGACCCTCGACTTAATAACTTACCAGTGATGCTCTTATTACGTGCGTTAAAATCTATAACGTCACTACAGACCCAGGCAGAACATCGTAAGATCAAAGGGAACATCAGCGTCCAAAAAAGGAAAATTAATAATATGGAACGAAACATCATTTCTTTTGTCGTAAATTTCAGTAGAGAGTTTCGAATGTGAAACTGAAATATACAAATCAAGAAAAGGGCAGTTATTGCTGTTTATATTAGATTTATTTTGAAATAAGTTCCTTTGGATACAATAAAGGAGGAAGATACCAAGGGGACATTCAAAACTCATAAGTCGAAGAAAACTGACTGATGTCCTAATCGAAGAAAAGAGGATGGGATTGTTGTTACCACAATTGGAGCATATCCGTGGTCATCTATGACACAGATACTCCATAAGGGTCATCCAACTCGTCATGGTGACCGCAAAACTATCGAAGGGATGGCTTCAACTTCACCACTTGGAACCCTTGTTTCAATAGCTTCTTTGTAAGCAGCAACCATCTATCAAGGAAATCGTAGCAAATGCAAGTTCTGGAATATCGTATCAACTGGGAGATACATATTCCATATGCAGGCTCTGTTGGAATGTTGCTACATTGAAAGTTCACAATGAGGAAGCTGAAATCATCCCTTTTGTCGTAAAGTTTTGTTCTTAACGGACCCTTATTGTCAATTTCTAGATATAAGTCAAGATATGAGGCAGACTTAACTGTTTCTGTGGTATCCTTTATTTCAAGTTCGATGGGATAGATGCGCTCAACAGCAAACTTTTGTACTAATAGTATTTAGTGAGCGGACATCATATATATATATCGGAACATGAAATTAGAGGTTAATGTCAGCAAGAAGAGGGGAACAATTCGTATTCATAAGAATGCCGATTTTGTTTGTTGAAAGACGCGTCCTCCAAACGCAACAAATATGTTGATGTCGGTCTTTATAGATGTTTTTGTTTGAATTAGAGTGTTTTTAACAAAGTATGATTTTCCCCTTCAAAAAACAAGAATTTTGTATCTAGGTTTGCAATCGTTTTGATGAAACGACGTTGGACTATTTCTTTCAATCTGTCTTAATTCACACCGCCCTTAGAGTAGGTACTTTCAAAGATACTCTCAAAATCTTCATCTTTTGTTGAAAATCCACAGGAACAAATAACAGACTTATGATTGTTCAAGAAGTGTCGTGGGAGTATATGTTGAGTTTCAAAGTACATTTCAACATCAAATTTAGAGAATTCTTGATTATTTAACTCAGTGAAATGAAGTTTGCCTTTTGTAACCTGTGAAATTTTAAACAGGCATTCCTTGACCCTTTCGTTTAGCCTATTGTTGTTGTTTTCCAGCATGATGACTTATAACAATATCAGAAGGTGACATTTTGATACATTTATCTGACGTGCTATTTGTAATGCTTTCAAGTCAGTAGTGATCGTAAATTCAGTTATTCAAACCATTTTATTGTTTTGTGCTGTATTCTTCCAGTTCATCACATTTGTTAATAAAAAAAAACAACACAAATTATGCTTTTCAACTGATGTGTCTGGTGTACCAAATCATTAGCCAATTATCTTTTATGAGATTTTACCACCACCAACCCACTAGTGAGCACTTTTGTGTTGACATGAATTATCACTAATATGTTCATTTTCTTTAAATTACTGTTTATAGTATAATAATTTAATTGTGGATGTAACACGTCTTCTGATTGGCTGAAAGTGTTTTGTCTATCAGCTAATAGACATAATTTTGTTAAGCATGCATGTCGCCAATAAGGATTTGTTTGACTGTTTTGCTTCCTACAGGCGCTATGGGTATTCATATTTTTTAGCACTATACATACAAAATCGAACAAACGGTTTGTCATTTTATGTGTAAAATATTGTTATTTTTCTATTGTGTATTCTATTTGAATTCCATTTGTAAAGACATATTCCCTTGTACTCTTTCAAAATAATTTGTAACTTCATACAAAATGTCTACTATATATAAAAACTGTAAACCAATTCAACATGATCAATATCCATATACATTTGCGAGGAACCATCACCATCACTGGTATCTGATATTAAACGTTTAATAAAGTAATGGAGACAAAAATCACATTGATTGAAATCTGTTAATATATAATATTTATTCAGAAAGTGTTTTATGATTATATTCATATCGTCCAACATCTTGGCACGACGTATGTCTCTATAAAGATATGCATTTTTTTTTTTAAATTTCTGGTGGCTTATTTAATCCAAAGTTCTGTTAGTTCTATAAGGCCGATATAATTTCCGTCTTGAAATTTTGTCCTTCCTGTTCCGATGCAATCTTCTCCTCTTTAAAGCGATGCATACGGCTAAAACACACTTTCATTCAAATCTGAAATAGCCTTTTATCGGAACACTAATCAAAGCTTATCCTCTATCATATAACTTTGTCTTTCAAAACCAATTTTACAGATAATGGAAACGTTGTATTCTACCTTTGACTGAATGGGCAAGTAGGAAACCATTTTCTGTGCTCTATTTCAGGTATATCATTATCTTCCCAGTCTGTTATGTGTCCTCCACACATATAACATACACATATATCATGTTCTCCTAAAAAATGATATACACTCATAAGTATCAGTATACAATTTATCAGAGATTATTGAATAAATTATATTTTCAAGTGAATTATGAAGCTGTTGTGTGAAAATTAATATTGCAAAATAATAATACTTTAAACTGAATAACGCATTTTTACAATTTTAAATGTTACTCAAGAAATAAGTAATTAATCAAGGCTTACTTTTTTAGAAAAAATAAATTGAAATACTGACAATGTAGTTAAGTTGATCAGATTTGTTAAAATCATAATGGATTGATTTATCTTGACAAGGAAAACAAATCATCAAAGATACTAGTCCTATAATTCAGCATGCCAGACACGTGTTTCGTCTACATAAGACTCGTCAGCAATTATGGAATCAAAACAGTTCGAAATTGAAGAGAATAACAACCAAAAGTTCTAAAACGTAGTACAAAATCCGTCCAAGGCCGAAAGGCTTTAAGTGCCGAAAACAACTCACCTTTATAAAAGAAGCCTGCAGCCGCAAGATCTATTGGATTCTGTTTGAGACTCTGTGGCCAGTTGTTGTATGTAGAAAGTCTTTCATTATTCACCGCATATCTGGTATGTTTCACCATACGAACTACTATACAATGTCCATAATGAGTAGCATGTTTAATATGAACGTTATCACCACAGCTCCAACCATTTAGAACACCCCCACAAAAAGCACATTGGACCTTATCATCCATTCCCATGTAATAAAATCCATTATCACACAGGTCTTTTGCATTTATACTAGGATTGGACCATAGCTGAAAAGTACCCATTCTTAGTTCATAGTCTTCTCTCAATGGTGCAAGTCTTTCTAACGGATGCTGTGGAACTTCATCACGACCAGGCGCTCTTGGCATCAGAGAAACTGTACACATATTTGTTCTTAAATATAATAAGGTTTTCGGTTCTTAAATGCAAATATAGACAGTAAATACATTTATTTTGTATATAAAATTGTATTGGCTATAATTCTGCATCCTGTTGAAAGATAACATTGAAGATGTTATGAAAATATTAAAACACAAACGAAACTTTGTCAACAGAAAAAAGAATTAGTGATAAATGTACATTGCAGATTTTATTTTTAGAATACTGCATTGCGAAACACTTACCTATTTATTTTATTTCTCCTAATTGAAGGTTTGTGTAATCAGCTTGGAACAGTAAAAGCAAAGTTGATTTTAAGAAATGATCGCTTGCCTAAATACATGTTTATTAAAATTTATAAAACGGCATTGCCACCATTCAAAATTCCAAAAGCATTTTCTATAGGTTGAAATATCTAAATTCCTAATATAGTGTCAATTAGACCGTACAAGGTTTCAATTGGCCAGGTAGCTATATAGTGAACAGTAGTATTTATAGAAAAAAGGTGTTTCCCAACAATTTCACAGTAGGACTTTTCAAGCTTAAAAATGGTAACATCTTTAAGAAACAATAGCTATACTGATTTCAAATGCATAGGAAATTCTTTTTTTAGAGTAAATTTGGTGATTTAAAGTTGCATTTAATTTAAATATTAAGAAAAAACATGTAAAATCCGTTTTCGTTTTTACATCCGAGTTTACTGCCTGCTAAAAATAACTTCATTATGTAAGTGTGTCAGTTTCAATACTATGCCACTTCATGATTTTCACTTTTTTCAGACTGATTATTGTTTATGATGTAGTTTACTAAAAAAAACGCACTTCTTGAACACTGGTATACTACTGTTGCCTTTATTTCTTGCATACAGGGAGCTTGGTATCTTTGAGGAGCTTTTACAACCACTGGGTTTGCGCTGAATATCATTGATACAATCATTTTCTGTAAATTAACCTCATAAAATACTAAAACCATTTAAAACACTAAGACTTTTCTATCACCAGGCATAGATGACTAAGCAAGAACTAGGATAACGTGAAGAAATTTGTGAGTGTCAATGCTCTTCAACTTCAACTGTTAAAAACTCAAACGGTCGATTAAGATTGAATCCCACAGAGCCAAATCGACGCTTTCTTATCAAGGCTATTACTTGGGAGACATGTCCAATTAGATAGCATATCAGATATCTGTATCACTGAGACAATTTCCTGATAACATACACTTTATATAGTTAAGTCACAGTAGTAAGTCATACGTTGAATTATAGAGTATTGGCAGGAAACAAGGGGGTTAAAATACCTAGGTGTGTTAATTATATACATTCAACGCTATACTATCTATGTTTAAATTTCATAAATCCATTAGGAAAATAACAATAAAGTAAAAAAACAACAACAAAAAAAACAAAAACAAGGGAAACGCATGAACGGGTGCATCTAAACAATCTTTTAACTTGTGTACACTTTACGCAATTGAGGCTGGAATGTTATCAAACAAACGGAATAAAAGTATTAAATTCACCAAAGGAAAATGTAGGTAACTTTTTTTTGTCGTAAAGTATTATTTGTAACATACCCTCTATATCGATTTCTACGTTTATGTCAAAATATGAAGTAGACCTTACTGTATCTATGGTCTGTTTCTCTTTATTTCAGGTTAAATAAGATATTTGCGATCATCAGTCGTCACCACAAGGTGAGGGAGGGGGTTCCTCATCCTATGTGAAGTTGTATTCAGACATACCTCTGGTATGGGTCGCATTTTTGGTATGTTAAATATTAATGGTGCAATTTCACGAAAGTAATATTTCAATGAGTAATACATTTTCATCATCTGATAAGATAACCATCGTTATCTGCTGAAACTTTCATTTACACAAGTTGAATAATCCTTTCACTTCACAGATGCATGTTTGATGTCTGAGATATCCATCAATTGGTTACGATTTTGCTATTAATTATTATTACATGTATATTTTCACCGAATTATTTTTTTTTTTTTAAACTCCAGTGGCACGACTTCAAATAAATTTGTATGTTGATGCATTATGGCAATATAGGAACAGGTAGACGTTTAAGACCTATATCAGTGCGCATGGCAATACAGAAACAGGTAGACGTTAAAGACCTATATCAGTGCGCATGGCAATATAGGAACAGCTAGACGTTTAAGACCTATATCAGTGTGCATAGCAATATGGGAACAGGTAGACGTTGAAGACCTATATCAGTGCGCATAGTAGGATATTGTTTCTAATATAAATATAAGGAGAGATTTTATGTTGCCAATAATACAACTATCAACTCCAGTCAAAATGCCGTGGATGTAAGCCATTATATGTCACCGTACGGCTTACAACAATGAGGAAATCCGTACCGTATAGTCAGCAAAAGAAGGTCCCGATATGACAAGATGTGATACAATTCAAACGAGAAAACCAACAACTTGATTTCTGCAAAAAAAAAAAAAAAAAAATAAACGAAATATGATAGACATTCACCAACGACAATCAATGCTTAAAGGCTCATCACTTGGGACAGGCACAAACAAAAGCCTTCCCCTAACCCGGGAAAGTATTGAAACTGCACAATATGATAACAAACTGCAAAAAGTGTTGAATAGGCTTGACTTCAGATCGGTATAAAAGACAAAAAACAAAAGACAAAAGACTCGCAGTCACTGATAGTCTGTTCAAAGGCAATCACAAATAATGAATAAATCGTGTTGAGCTAGACCAACTTTGTTTAGGGGCCAGCTGAAGCCCGCCTCCGGGTGCGGGACTTTCTCGCTGTGTTGCAACCCATTGGTGGTCGTCGGCTGTTTTGTGCTGTTTGGTCGGGTTGTTGTCTCTTTGACAATTTCCCCATTTCCATTCTCAATTTTGATTTTAAAATATAATCGGTACTATTACTATTTGGAAGAATAGATAGTCAATCTTTGATCGTATATGCGATAACAGATCTTTAGTTTAACAATAGTTAAAAATAAAACCTTCAGTAAAAAGAAATATGAAATTAAAAAAAAAGGTATTTATGAAAATAGTTCATATCATTTAATTTCAAGTAAATGCGTACGTGATTTTTTTAAAGAATATAGTTTTGGAACGAATTGTCGGACGTTGCAAAGTTGACCTTTAATATGTTTGACTTAATTGGTCAAATGTATAAATATTATTTTCCTTTCAAATATTTAAAGGTGGAAATATGTTTATTATAAGTTCGTACCTTTTTATGTTTATTTTTGTCGTCTTTCGTTGGTTTCCTGTATTCATATGTTAGTATGAATAAATAATTAGTAGATCAATATAGTTACTTGATTATAAAATAGGAAATGGTACTTGTATGAACTTTTCATTGTCCAAGGAAAAACGGATACTGAAAAGATAATCTTAACAGACTTCCCTGAAAAATTATGTACGAGTTTTTTTTAATCTAATGTAGTATAAATTATTAGAATATCCAGATATAGAAGAAAATCTTTGTCCTACTAGTACTTAACAACTAATTAATAGGATTGATTCAGTTGTGATGTGTATAATCGAAAAAGTGTTTTGAATGACTTGTGTAGTAAACCAGACGTGTAATCCTTAACATGTTACTTCAAGTGTTCTGTGATGATATTAATCTAAAGGAGTATAATGAATTACTCTTTAATTCAAATGTAAGCATCAAAATAAAAAAAAACCAATTTCATAACACAGATAAATTCGAGATAAAGGTGATTTGACCAATTTCAACTTATACACTGTTTAAGGGTGTTCGATAGGCTTGTTTTTTACTCAGATATTCGAAATCCTCTGGTTTTATCCATGTAGGGTCATTAAAAATTTTGCTCGCTAACCCCTATTTTCCTTTTATAATTTAATTACATATAGTTTAAATATTTAAAAATATTATTGATACGATCGTGATTGTAAATTTACAAAGGTTGAAATATTGGAAACACTAAGGATCTTTTATATGGCAGCCGTATATTACCTGAGCCTTTTTGGCACAACTTTTGGAATTTTTGGTTTTCAATGCTGGAAATACGAAGGATTTTCGTATTCGATTTTGCCATTCAATGATTTCAATTCTAGCGCCATTGATGAATCTTATGTTTACAAAACAGGTTTGATCATTTCAAGGCATTTGTATTTCTGTTGTAATAGTTTTGTAGTTATGAAACTAATGAAACTATTACGATCATTGGATTTAAAGATGCAACTGAATAAATTAAGATGACAGTAATTTCCCGAAGTTCAAGTTTCGTAAATCGATTAAGAAGAGAAAAATCATAGTAACAAACAAACAATGAGGGAATCGCATGAACTCCAAACGAAGCGAGACAAGATACATCGACATGGTATAGTAATGTCCCCTGCTATGCATGTATCACCCACGAAGCAAAGGCAAAATCAGTCAAAATATGACAGTCGGGAATTAAATACAATCGGTAAAATTACAGATCTGACGATTTAACTTATATTTAAAGATCTAAGACATCAAAAAACATGTCGCTATTGAGTTGAGACACTTCCTCATTACTCTGTTGAAGCAGTTTTCGTCTAAGGTCCACACCCCTATAAACGATGTCCGAATAGTGTGAACATACACGATCGTAACGTATCAACTGAGATATATAAACGCCACACGACGGTGCAGAGGGCATGTTTCTGCTGAGAAATGGGAACTTGAAATCATCACGTTCGTCAAAAATTTTAGTTTGATGTCGTCCATCGTGTCAAAATCGAGAAAAAATCAAGATATGAAACAGGCCTTCTACTTTCGGTAGTATCCTGAATAAAACAGTATATGAGATGTAAAGGTGTCAGACCACCAATTCAAAATACCTATCTATTTAACCATTTTTTTTAAATTTCCACAGCTTTCTAAATATTTTACCTTAATTTTAACTCCATAGAAACCAGGTATATCCTGAATTGTACATGTATCAGCTTTCTACATGCCAATTTTCAAACAATGTTTAAAGTCTTGTAGTTAAATACGACCGTTTCGGTAGGCATCTACTACTAACAATAACCCCTGACTTTCTGGAAATCTTTAAAAGGTATACTGCGGAGCGCATTAATCCTCAAATTGTAAAGCAAACTCATGGATAAGTAAATTTTAGTTCAAAATGGTCTAAATATATTTCTCTTTCACCAAAAGTTAAAGTTTTTGGTTATTTTAAGAAAACAATGACATCAAAAACACCATTTGTTGTCGGGGAAGGGCTACTTTTACATATATTCTAAATTGGAGTGAGTTAATTGGTGGCCTGACACTTAAACACTAATTGAAATGTAGGTTATTGAGTGACTGGACATCATTGACATATCTGAGAGTGAAAATAAAGAACTTTCAAGATGTTGTTTTCTATTAATCTTTGAGAAAGCTCTGTTTGAATTTGGCTTTATGTAAGATCACAAATAAATCGGCCAGTAGTGATGCATAATTAGTACCTATTGGAATACCGACTGCCTGCTGCAATATTAATCCATTAAACCAAACAAATATGCTGTCGATTAAAACAAGTGTGCTGTCCTATGTTGTTTTACGTGTTCGTTTTTATTCTGTGGTTAGCATGTCGTAATGTACTACTGTATTGTTTATTTGTGTATTCCTCGGTCGTGAATGTTCTTGCATTTATTTGTACTGTATTCCTGTCATGTAATGTTGTTATTTTAGTGTTATATTTAACATTGATAGAAAAGCGAGGTTTGGCTAGCCATAAAACCAGGTTCAACCCACCATTTTTTCTTAAAATGTCCTGTACCAAGTCAGGAAAATGGCAGATGTTATCTTTTAGTTCGTTTCTGTGTGTGTTGCATTGTCGTTTGTTTTTTGTTCAATTCATTGTTTCTGTTGTTTCGTTGTTTTCCTCTTATAGTTGATGTGTTACCATCGGTTTTAGTTTGTAACCCGGATTTGTTTTCTCTCAATCGATTTATGACTTTCGAACAGCGGTATACTACTGTTGCCTTTATTTATTCAGCATTTCGACGATACCGGCATCATTAGTCTAGGATCCTGACACAATATTCTCAACGGACTTCCTGGTGTTATATTTGAATTGAAGCTTGCAAAATCGATAACATTTCATCAGGATTCCAGGTTACCCGTATCATCTTCAGTGAATTTGTTGCGGGAATCAGCGTGTTTTTTTTCTCACAAAGTATGATTTTCATGACCCAAAAACAAGAAATTATATCTACATTTACCATTCTTGCAGAAAACGATCTGTTTAATGAGACGATGGAATCGAACTTTCAATTGACCATAGGAATAGTAGTGTAAAGCGTTCAAAAACACCAAGATTTTGATATTACTGCAAAATTGTAAAGATTGTGATTGAGTATTTTGGAGTAGATCTTATAAGAATCCACATCTGATTGACACCGCTGGTTCAATATAACTTATCACAATGGTTCTTAAGGCGATATTTTACTGTAGAGTGTAGTAAGAACTTTAGAAAGATGTTTAGCCGAATGTTTTGACAACCCGGCTATATATCGGTCTTTATAATTTAGGTATCCAGTATTAAGATTGGAGAATGTTATCGTCCTTATAGTTGATGTGTTTCCCTCAGTTTTGGTTTGTGACCCGGATTTATTTCAGTTAAATCGATTTATGACTATTGAACAGCGGTACACTACTATTGCCTTTATTTATGTTAATGCCAAAAAGAAGAGAAGGACGGATTTGTGATTTTCTAAAATCTCCCCTTTAGAAAATGATATATGTGGGATTCCAATTTTTGCTATGAATAGTTATATAGTGAGACATTCCAAATAATGATGTTTGTATATAAAACAACATTCATTAAGGCTTTAAATGCTCGAACAACAACATATGGCCAGAGACACGTGTGTTCATTGTACATCGTACATTTTGTATGCGCTTTGAATGCATGATCGTGTCCAGCTTTTGTTCACCTAGCGCTTTTTCTAGTTTTCTGGCATAGTCCCCAACCGCACAAATCAGTAACCTAAACTTTATTTTTCCAGTTGATGAGATTGTGGAATTAGGTATTTAGGATCTTTTTCTAACAACTATATAAGTAATAACAACCGTAAATATAGAAATAATTGGGAAAGTTACACTTCACACGGATCATCATCATCAAATATAGGACTGTTGTTGCAGAAAAGGAAAACAAAATGTTTGTCTTTTTGTCCTTAATTTTATTATCATTTTATGTTAAATTATTGCAAAATCTGTGTGTATTATTCAGAGAGAAAATGTCATCTTGTAGTATTGTTGAAATTTTCTCCATGTATCAAGTAGGGTTTTGTTTTGCTTTAAGAAAAATGTTCATACCCTATACGTTTCATAACAATATAGAAATTTGCAACAAGAGGGGCGCGATTAATCATCAGTAGCAATCAATTTTTTGCGATTGTATACTTTATGTCCAAATTATAGCTCATATATATATATATAAGCAAAAGAAAAAAAAGTATTAATCCTGAATCAGATTTATAAAAAAATAGTAATAAAAGTTCAAAATCAAATCACCGCCTTGCTATCGAGATAAGTTGCCGTTTTGTTCTTTAACTGTTAATTTGTTTGATAAACCCATAGTATGTACCTAGCATATATACCATAAATGTTCATTGTCGGTAACTATATAATTTATGTTTACGAGTTAAACGAAAATCGAGGCTTGTCGAGCTTTACATCTTTTTCGTAGGAAGTACAAATGAATTTCATATTTTTCGATTATGTATACATATTGTTTTTTTTCTGCTCTGTAGAACTGTGACGTTAAAAGTAATTTTAAACAGTATTAATCGCTCAATCAGTGACATAGAGTATTGTGTATTATTATAGTTGGTTGATTACAGGATAAAACATTTTATCAATTTGAACCCAAATAATCTTTTCGATTTAAAGCATTCATTATGTCAATAGTGTTGATAATAATTATATCAGTCATCAGATACCAACGACTGACAAAACGATATTTGTTCAAAAGAAATATTTCTATTTGTATTCTTTTTTCTTTTTCATTTTTGATTAATATGTTTATTGTATTTTAAGGGGAGGGGCAATCGATATTCGAATAGAATATTGTACATTGTATTTCCACGATAAATGATTTAATATATTTCCTATACTTTAGACTAGGGTACAATTATAGTTCTCCAGCATTTATCATAAAATGGGCAGGTATATAAATTGAATTGCTGGTGCTGTAGACCAGGCTTCATGTCGTTATAATTACAAAGGGCTTTGTTCGTTGACAACTGATATCCTTATTTTTTATATGTCCAAAAGTATTGAACATTTTAATGTCTTTGTAATAATTATCAGAGTTAAAGAGATTTGTTTTATATCCTTTAATTCTTTTATATACCACTAGGTCGACACCTTTGCTGGTGGACTGGTAGTCCCTGATGTTATATATCACCAGCCCAGTAGCCAGTACTTCGGTGCTGGCATGAAAATAGGGATAATGTGCTATTAAAATTTTCTTTTACAATATTTTTGAAATTACTTTAAATTAAGGAATATACATCGCTCATGCAAAGCTTTGATTCCTTTCCCGGCTTTGGCTATACTTTTTGTCCGTTTATGTTTATATTGCTCTTAATCTTTTTAAAATAAGTTTTGAATTTTAAAATAGTTTGGTCTCGAGCATCACTGAAGAGACAGTTATTGTCAAAAAAACGCATCTGGTGCAGGAATGTCAATGTTGTTTTGAACTTTTAAGACAATTGTTATTGAAGGCAGATCTTTGGTATGCTTTGTAGAATTTGGTTACAAGTTGTATATAACCTAGCCTTGTGGATTGTTTTAATGACTCAGTTACATTCCTCCACTCGAAGCTTGGATAGTTGTTTCGTGAGTTGTCTTCTAATCAAGATATTACACGTTACGTTAAAAAATAACCTGAAGCAATGCTGACTATTTTTCAGGCTGCATTGTAATAAATTGCCTTTTCACTTGAAAAACTGTTGACTTGCAGCTAGTGTTCCGAAAAAGATTTGATCACTGTAAACGCGTCATTGAAGCTAGTATTTCGAACAAGATTTGATGATTGTTAACGCGGTACTGTAGCCATTATTCCGAATAAGACTTGATGACTGTAAACGCGGCTTATATGCTGTATTCTCCTTTGATTTACTACCGCTAAATCGATACCATATTTGGGAGTATCAGTTCCAAATATTCAGACTTACACAGACACAGTTGATAACATTAGTCGTTTTTTTTTTGCTGTTCTTAAAGACCTTATTTAGATAATTGCACTCCATTCATTTATACTTCTCTGGGTATCTATGCTGTTGATTCTAAGAGTTCTCGATAAACATGGATCATTTGGAGGAAGCACATTCAGCATTATTTATTTTGATTAAAACATATTTTTAGTATCAATCGACTTTGTACGTAGCTGCTCATGTTATAAATAGTCATATGCAAATAATAATATTGGCGTAAACTGATATAGGTTAAGTAATCTAAGTATATAAATATTGCAATATATTCGCTATCGTTTGACCAGTTTTACAACAAAATGGAACTATATCGCAATTTGTTTATTTGTTCGGCCATTCTGACTGTTTCTACTATTCTTACGCATGGTTTAGCTATGGGACTACCGTACTGGATATACCGGCGAGTCAGTGTAAAAATTGCAAATTTATCAGTGGATGCTCTTGCTTATGAAGGATTATTCAAAGCGTGTAGAGAGTATGATGATAAAATACATATAGTAGAACATAAACATAAGCATATTAAAGAATGTATTAATAGTAAGTATCGTAATAGGTTACAGGTTGGTATAGTTTATTTTATTTAATATCATGCTAAAATAGAGGGGTGGCATATTATCATGATAACAGGTTTTTCAAATGGCATACATTTTCAACTTTATATCATAACTTAATTACATTTTCTTAACTGGCATGCTGTAAGAGAAATTGACTTTTTCCCTTCAATGTAGTATTTTTTTAAATAAGTAAATTATCAAATCAGATTCATATACATTTACCTATGATGTCTTAGAAAGCCAGAAATAACACCAATGCACACAGCTTTTAGGGAAAAACCTATACTCCACTGAGTAAATAAAGAAAATATGCATGCTTTAAAAATCCCCTAAGTTTATGTAATTTTGTTAATACAAATATATTAGTTTTAAATCACTTCTACGGCAGATAAACATGAACATCTACCATCATCATGAAATGCAAGTTCTGTATTGAATAAAAGTCAAATGTTGATTTGAATTTTTCAGCACCTGATAGAAACTGGCTACTTCAAGCGCCTAACAAAGACTGGATAATTCCTGAGAGGTATTTGGTTTCTTTTTCAATGGGTGGTCTTGCCATCACATTTTTCTCGGATTTACTTATTGCATCTGGTACCATTAGCAGAAGACACATATTTGGATCCAGCATAAGCAATTTATTAGCAGGTGAGAATCAGTCAATAGTTCAGCAGAACGCTAACAGTTTTGGGGGCACATTTTGCTGGAATTGTTTCAGTTGTTCATTTGTGTAGACGTCTTTTTAACTATTTACGTAACAGTCTTCGAGCTATCCGTTTGTTACATTTTGAGGGTTTTTTTTGGTACCATTTCAGTATCTACTTACCTCCTAGAATACGTCAATTATTATATTGTTATAATGATTTTTTTTTTGGGGGGAAGGGGGTTAAAGAGCCAATAAAAATAGTAATACTACTAATGATAAAAATCATATTAATACTGAAATACACTATATTCTTATGTTTAAAAATGGTTTACTCGTCTGAAATATCAAAAATTATTGAAGGCTTGGTTGTAGTCTTTCAACTTGGTTTTTTGTAATCATATTTGATGTCTTTAAAAAACGAGATATAGAGTTGTGTCACGTGCACCTACAATCATATAACACACTTGGAGCAACGAACACCCCTTTTATTTCTTGTTAACTTGACGTACCTAATTGTTGCCCTAACTGTACAAGATATAATATTTATACAGTCATTTGAAAATAATGATACAATGAGAGTTATCTATGTAAATATACCAATATATAGATACGCTATATCTCGATAAGTTTTAAAACAAATTGGAACCATATCGTATGTTGATCCTTTGTGCAGTCATTTTAACTACTTATGTCATGATTACTCATAATCATAGATAAAGTGTTACCGTACTAGTTATAGGGCAACAATGCAGATAAATCACTGGACACTCCTGTATATGAAGGATTATATATTGTGTGTAGAAAGTCGGACGATAAATTAATTTCGATAAGAATATTAGAAAAGAAATGTATTTCAAACTAACTAATGACATCTTTACCACGTCTTAGATTGTGGTTTAACATCTATGTCGTCTTTCTGCTAAATACCGAACGTGACCTATTCCCAAATATGACTGTTATACCGAGTGTGAATTTGCATTGCTATACGACGTGTCTCGGTATTTTATACATCCAACATTCATGTATTTATTTTTGAGGTTTTTGTTATGGTTTCGGTTGAATAATGTTTTATGTCTTATCGTTTGTTGTCCAAATGATTATAAAATTGCCTTTCAATACCATCATTGTCATATTTCAGAATATGACTGTTATACCGAGTGTGAATTTGCATTGCTATACGACGTGTCTCGGTATTTTGTACATCCAACATTCATGTATTCATTTTTGATGTTTGATGGTTTCGGTTGGATAGTATGTTATGTCTTATCGTTTGTAGTCCAAATAAATATAAAAATTGCCTTTCAATACCATCATTGTCATGAAAATTGTTTGGACGAGTATTGTGAAAATAATTGTATAAAGTTCGAGATTGCATGTTAGTTACGTGAGCGCGTCATTGTTTGTGAAATCCTGTAGTGTTTGTCGTTGGTGGAATATGTTCCTTGTTGTTCTGCTGCGGTTTGCATGTTGTGTCGACTATTATATTATTTGTTTGTGCGTTTCTTTGTGATGAATGTTCTTGCGTGTGTTTGTGCTGTATTTCTGTCACGTAGTATTGTCATTTTAGCGATATTGTTTTTAAAAGTGTCATAAAGCGGGAGGTTTGACTAGCCATTAAACCAGGTTCAACCCACCATTTTTTCCTAAAATGTCCTGTACCAAGTCAGGAATATGGCAGTTGTTATCAAATAGTTCGTGTCTATGTATGTTGGCGTTTGTTTTTGTTGCACTTCAGTGTTCCTGTGTTTTCCACTTATCGTTGATGTGTTTCCCTCCGTTTTAGTTTGTAACGCGGATTTGTTTTCCCTCAATTGATTTATGACTTTTGAGCACCGGTATAATACCGTTGCTTTTATCTAACAATTGTTATTGTTGAACTATTATATTTGATTTTTTTGTCTATCAAACCAATTTTCCAATTAAATACACGTTACCCTGATTTATTCGATTTTTATTTGACTTGGATATATATATGCATGTTTAAGTTCTAAAAGTACGATATAGTGTATATTTCCTACAAATGTTTTACTTTCATACTATAGTTTATGTTACATCTGAAACATCCCAATATCGTGCGTTTTCTTTATCATTTCAGTATGGTTGCTTTTTACAGTTCTTATTATATATGGATTAAAATCAGATTCAACAGCATACTATGTGGCATTTGATTGTGAGATAATATCGTTGATTCTGTCATTCTTCAGTAGTTTTTGTCGATTCACAATCTGTAGAGGAGAAAAAAATGGACCTTATGAGCGCATAAAGGAAAGGTCATTTCGGGTTAATTCATAGTCATATGTAAAAATAATTCAGAATCATAGTCATAAATCATGTCAAATTGTACAAAGTAACTTTGGATTTTTAAACCTTCACCGTATACTAGTTCCTTCGTTTGTGATACAACTATATTGCAATGAACTTAAAATGAAGAAAAAAAACCAAATGTGAAACATTTTTTATAACTAAATATGGTTCTATATAAATGGTTTTGCTACATTTTACAGTAATGGCGGGCATGATGTATTTAAATGTAGTTAATGTTATGCATTCACCTATATGTGTTCATATTATGTATATTGAGATGTAATTGTTATGTTGTTTTTATATACTTGATGAATAAGAATTGCTTTATATATCGATTTGTTATAAGTCATCAACTTTTTTGTTATCAAAGAGCAAGAATGCCGTTTTTTTTTTAATGTAATGCTCTTTGTAGGGATTGAGCACTTTACCTCATAACGAATAAAGGGACGACCAGAGTTCAAGAATCAACCTTAAGCAGCTTATTTGCCATAAACTTTTGAATATTTCACGTGTAAATAGATTTGATTTAATACCGAAACTGAAATAAAACTAGAGGCTCTCAAGAGCCTGTGTCGCTCACCTGTATTTACTGATGCTTTGGAAATCATGTAAAATAAGGTTAGAATCATAATTAATAGTATTAGATATTAGATATTATAATGATATCTAAGATAATAACAAAAAACTGCAAATATTTTGTAAAATTACAAACTCAGGGGCAGCAACCCAACAACAGGTTGTCGAATTCGTCTGAAAATTTCAGGGCAGATAAATCTAAATCTGATGAACATCTTTGCCACCTGTCAGATTTGCTCTAAATGCTTTTGTTTCAGAGATATAAACCAAAAACTGCATTTTACCCCTATGTTCTATTTTTAACCAAGTCGGCCATGATGGTTGGAGGGCGGGGTCATCGGACAAATTTTTTTAACTAGATACCCTAATAATGATTATGGCCAAGTATGGTTAAATTTGTCTCAGTAGTTTCAGAGAAGAAGATGTTTGTAAAAGATTACAAAAATTTACAAAAAATTGTTAAAAATTTACTATTAAGGCCAATAACTCCTAAAGAGGTAGACTGACAATTTTGGTCATGACAACTTATTTGTAGATCTTACTTTGCTGAACATTATTGCTGTTTACAGTTTATCTCTATCTATAATAATATTCAAGATAATAACCAAAAACTGCAAAATTTCCTTAAAATTACCAATTCAGGGGCAGCAACCCAACAACGGGTTGTCAGATTTGTCTGAAAATTTCAGGGCAGATAGATCTTGACCTGATAATCAGTTTTATCCTGTCAGATTCTAAATGCTTTGGTTTCAGAGATATAAGCCAACATCTACATTTAACCCCTATGTTCTATTTTTAGCCATGGCGGCCATTTTGGTTGGTTGGCCGGGTCACCGGACACATTTTTTAAACTAGATACCCTAATAATGATTGTGGCCAAGTTTGGTCAAATTTGGCTCAGTGGTTTCAGAGGAGAAGATTTTTGTAAAAAGCTAACGACGACGGACGACGACGCCGACGCCGACGACGACGACGACGACGACGGACGACGGACGCTAAGTAATGAGAAAAGCTCACTTGGCCCTTTGGGCCAGGTGAGCTAAAAATATGACGCACTTAAATAGGTGACTGCAAACTTTCAAGTATCGCTTGCTAGTGACCTTGATAATTGCAGAGATATCAAAGATACAAACCTGAACACATGGAATTAAGGAAAGACAATTCATGGCCATCTGAAGTAGTAAAGAGACAAATACTAAGAAATTACTGAAAATTGAACTTGTGCAATAAAGTTTAATAAAAAAACGAACTCTAAAGTAAATTCAAAAAAGGGGAAGTCCATAAAAACTAACAAAATCAAATGTTATCAACCCAACGAAGAGTAGAAAATAACTGTAATATTCCTGACTTGGTACAGGCGTTTTCCGAAGAAAATGGAGGCATAAACCTGGTTTTATAGCTAGCCCAATTGTATGACTGTTGTTTATAGTTCCGTTATATTGACAAAATTGGGTGAGGAATAAGTCCAAGACATACCTTACTAAAACCTAGTTCGTTGACAAAGACGTTATATAGCATTTCCTGCATTGCCCTGCTCCTAAAACTGCACGCTTCGAAATTTACATGATAAAATTCAGTTATATGCAAAGCCTACGATAAATCATCAGGGTTTACAAAGATAGAATTAGGGTTAGTCCAACGACTAATGTAACGCATCTATTTTTCTCTCTGAAAACAACAGTTGAAACACAATATTTGAATACAAACATTGAGCAGCGCGGTCCTCACTATAAACCTGGGAGAACTCGGGTACTTCTAAAGGATATACAGTTCCAACTCAACCAGTGGTACCAGTTTCATTGCTTACGACATTTAAATATCCGGTAATATAACACACTGATGACAATGAAAGGTAATTCAGATTAAAAAGGTACGTCAGCTTTACATTGGATTCGGTGAAAGAGATATGCAGACTGTGGGTACAAACCGAAACTGAACATGTCCGTCAGTGATTGTCTAGAACACATATACTCCGAATCTTATGATCACATATAATATCCATAATTACCATTCATTGTCTTCGGAAAATGCCTGTACAAAGTCCGAAATATTGCAGTTGTTAACCATTCGTCCCGTTGTATGATAAAGTCTAACGTTCGCTTTTGTCGGTTTTTATGGACTTCAGAATAAATTTTCCTTTTTTAATTTACCTTTGAGTCGGTATTTTGTATTCTTCTTTATATGCTTTAATTCTAATGAGATGCTTAGAACTGAAGCAATACTATTTATTAATGCGAATGTTAGTTATGCAACATTGATCATGAATATGGTTGTTTCAAGAGAGAACACACTGCAATGTATCGCCTGCTATACTGGTCATGAATGAATTTATATAGAAGTCTTTATGATAAAGAATTTACTACGTGTATCACATAAATATAACGTTGTTAATGATCCATAAAAATGAGGTCACGGTCAGATAACCCCTTTCAGAAAGACATATATATTTAACAATCTTTTCATTCGCAAAATATAGTGGACTTGTTGATTAAAGTATCTGAGAAAAGGACCTAACCATGACAACTAAACATTGACCAATGAACCATTAAAAAGAGATCAAAGGTAAGATGAATATGCCAGATGGTCATGTGCACCTTGCAATCAATCCAAACACCAAATACAGTTTACATCGTTTACCCGTAATATGAGAACCCGAGCCAAAATTATTGATTCCCTTGCATCATCAGACCATCAGTTATGCACCGAAACAGATTTTAGTAAAGTAAAGGGAAGCAGTTTAATGTTAGAACATCTAATAATGAAACATCGCAAGGATAAGGCCAAGAAATACTTGAACATCTAAATAAATCATAAAACATACTAGACAAGGAAAAATACATGACAAAAATTGATAGGTGTTTTGCATGTGTCGGTTTATCTGTGGTTGAAGATTTTGAAGAATTGCGCAACTTGCGTATCTGTTTGAAAGTTTTTTTTTATTTCCATGTGACAGGAATGTATTGGGGGATTTGTGATAAAATTTAATGACAACGGAATCAGAGGTGAAAGTGATATACGAATATTAGGAGGAAATAAAATGAAACCTTTTATTTACAAAGTTATAATGTAACTTTGCTGGACAAATAGAATCAGAAGACTATATAGTATGGGAATTTCTTTAAAAACAAAAGATTAGATACTGTGTTGAAATCAGTATCGCCACATTTATGTTTCCACACTTTGTTCTGCTGGATCCCAATTATTGTCATGTACACCAAATATGTATGTTTGGGTTGCTCACATAATTGTGTCAATATGACGTAACTATACAAACTAATATACAAAGAGGGAGGGGGTTTAATTAGCTGTAAAACAAAGTTTAACCCACCATTTTCTTCGGAAAATTCCTGTACAAGTCAGGGATATGACAGTTGTTTTCCATAGTCGAGTATTTGGTTTTTGTCAGGTTTTGTGGACTTCCCCTTTTTTTAATTTATTTTAGAGTTCGTTATTTTTGTTGATACTTATTCAACAAAAAAAATTATAGTTAAACAAATCTGATACAGATTTCTGTTTGCACATGTGCATCGTGAATATATTTGTTTTGTTTGCTTGAGATCAAAGGTGTCAAAGGTCTGAATTTCCTGAGGAAATGTTAACCTTATCTATAGTACAGTAACTAATTTTAAAATAAATTCATGTCACGGAAAAGATGTACCAGTACTGATCGGCACTAGCTAAATTCAATCTGTTTGTTTGTTTTACTCTTTTAAACAAACCAAACTTAGAATTCTGAGTTATTCCTTACTGTTACAGTTAAACACAAAACGGTTCATGCGAGAGTAATGGAAACTAGATATAAACGACTAGCCAATGTTATAGAACTTTAAGATTGCTCCAAAGCAATTTTGTTACCCCAAAACAACTGAATGCGAAATGCCCCTTTAGATCAAATTACTATAGATGAAATCATCCTTCCGCAGTGAATTTATATGTTTGTGAAAAACTAAAACCATGTCTGGAGGATTTTTTGAAACTGTGAAAACAACTGCCTTCTAAAAAACCTGTAATTACTTCAAAGCTGTTTTAGGGTTCAAGCCATTGGTATTTCAAAAACATCACTGTGAATGATGTTTTTCATAGTATTATGCAATTGTGAATAAACTCATCATAGACACCAGTACTAAAATTTTATACGCCAGACTCGCGTCCACAAAAGACCGACCATCGATTCGAACCAGGCATAGGGCGAATTACATTGCAATGTAATGCATTATATTACAATTACTTTGACAAAACCATGCATTAAATTACAATTACAATTACATGCATTTATCAAAGTAATGCATTATATTACAATTACTTTTGCAAAGTAATGCATTGAATTACACATTACATTTGTAAATTTTATTATCAAGTGAAAAGAAAAATCAAACATTTTGAAAAACAACATGAAGTCACAAAAGATTCTAGCATATGCAGTAACTGTTCCATGTATTAAATTTAAGTATACATGTAAAAAGTCTATTCAATACCACTATTACATTTTACCATCATAAGGGTTTCGAAGGTTTCATGATGAATAATATTTCTGACTACCCGACTGTTTCGCAAAAACTATCAAAGTAGATTGCTCTTCTATCTTTGGTTTTAATGTTTAAAGGTATACATCTCTGTGTTTTCTCAAAAAAGAAATTACAGAGATGAAGTTTAATACTTATTTTAACTTAATGTTAACTTTACTTTTATAAATATGCATTGTTTTATGTTTTTTTAATTTCAATCAAAATATTTACTGAGAATTTCTTTCCTGATTATATAATAAACATAGAGCTTAATTTATGACCAAGTGTCAAAATGGTGAAAAGATTGATTGTAAAACAAACAAATTAGTGTTTTATGACAATGTTCAATTATCTGTTATTTAATCATGTGATCTTTTGACAACAATGGAACACTTTTACAGTAATGCTTTTCAAATATCAATCTTTTTATGCAGGAAAATGTATAAAATAAAATGTAATAATTAAAAAAAACTCTATCTGATACACAGTGTTGTGTTATTCATTTAGAATTGTAATTTGGTCATTATAGTATTTATACCACTTTATTTTTTTTCTTTTCAAGTTCTACCTGGGGCAAGGCTTAATCACCAAATTCCCTCTAGTGATTTATGTAAAGTGTGAAAATAAATAAAATAGAAAATCAATATTTAAATGATTATGTTCTTAGTTAATCAAAAAAATTCTGCTTTAGTTTAATCTCCAACAATCTGTTAAAGTTATATAGTATGTGAAAAAAGTAATGCCATGTAATGCAATGTAATGCATGAAATAACACAATTTTTTGCTATAGTAATGTAGTTCTGTGTTTTCACTATCATAAATCCGTTGAAAAACTTGTCAAATTCTGAATTTTCAACACCTTTGGGTGTGAGTAAAACTGCAAAACACATATAGTGCCGCAGCTTTTTTGATTGAAAATTGGTATTTATTAAGGGTACTCTATGGTTTCTGAATGTTTGAAATAGCATAAATTGTAGAACACTCCTTGCTTAATTTTGCACAGAAAATTTTGCCCATCAGAAAGAGTTTCCTCCTTATTTTGCTATTTCTACACCAATAGCCGACAGCCAGTTTCAACTTTTTCTTTTCTAATTAATAAGGCGGCAGCAGAAAATACATTTACTTCTGGTTATCATCTCGGATGTAAAAACAAGGTGGCGACCGTCATCTTTATTTACTTCCTTTTAACCAATAAGGCCATTTAAAGTAAGAAGTTGAAGATCATTGAAAACCAAAAAAGCCGACAGGTAAGGATGTATTGTTGTCTCTTGTCGAATGTACCTGAACCACTTTCGGAATCTAATACGATAACTTGAGAGTTGTAAAGCCACATGCCTGCTTATGGTTTACAAGTTTAATTAATTCATTGAGAATTGGTAATTTGAAAGGTGTTGTTGGTTCTAGATTTTTGCCATATTACATACACTTTCGAAATGCTTTTTTATATTGCATTTACCCAAATAATGTCGAAAATTACCATGCAACTGTACCTATACATTGGTCTGCATACGATTCATCAATGACGCTCGAATCAAAACAGTTGAATGTCAAATCATATATAATATTTAAGAGCAAAGACCCAAAAATTCCCCCAAAAAGTGCCAAATAAGGCTAAGGCAATCTATACCAGATGTAGAAAAACCTGTTTCGAAAAATTCCCCAATATGGACAATAATTTACGGACCAATGATATTCCATGTCAACATAAAAGTTTTGGTTACTGGTTTGGTATGTATCGACCACCAAAGATACCATCATTATAATTGTGTACGCCTGATGCATGTTTTGTCTACATGCGACTCATCAGTAACACTTTAATTCAAAATTTGTGATATCGATCTAGTGGTATTTAAACTAAGTCAAATCACCCTTTGAATGTTTTCTGTATTACAGATATTTTTAATAAAAATAAATGTCTTTATCAATTATCATATTTCTTTAAATAACGTGTTAAAAATCCTAACAACACAATTTAACAATTGAGCCAGCTTAGCATGTGCCTCTAAACTTATTTTCAAAAGTGTAAAATATAATAATATAACAAGAGGCAAATTGTTAATTTGTTGAATGGCTAATGACTGTAATGAGATTTTGGCAAACATATTTTTTTTCAAATGCAAAGTTATTCAATGCAAATGTTGACAAAACAAGAAGTTGAAAATGATGTCGTGCAAAGAAATTACAGTACACATCAAAAGACATTGATGAAAAATTTCATGCTTAGTGCATACAACAAAATTTAAGTATTGTCGACTAGACGTGAAAAATGCCAGGCAGTTATGGCTGTGTGGAGGTATAACGAAAAAAACTATGTACAAACAAGGACATTATATTATTTTATATTATGTTCTAGGTACAAACAAGATGTAGCGTTGTTCTGTCGAGGACACCCCCATAATAGTAGTTCAAAGTATCAAAAAACAGGAATGGTGTGTCCGACAGATTTCAAAAGCGCTAACAAGTAATCAAAGCTGCAGACCAACTATAAAGTCATTATGTGCTGTTTCTGAGAAAAGTGTGACGAAAGTATTTGTTTTCATTCAGCATATTGAAAAATTCAAACCATCAGCAAACAGAAAATAGGTGTCGGAAAGATCTGAAAAGTGCTCACACCTTACAACTCATCACTGTCAAGCTGCTGACTAACTATAAAGTCATCCTGTTTAGCTGTTCCCAACAAAAATAAAGTTATCAAAAATTGTTGATGGACAGATAATAACTTGGTATTTGCAATATAGCCCCACCCTAGGAATTGGAGTATATTAGTTCAATTTTAATTCCAGTCTGATTGAAGTATCGATCCTTTGAACATAGATGAATCTAAAAAAAAAGAGGCAAATGATACAAAATGATATTCAAACTCACAAGTCGAACATAAACTGACAATATGTGAAGGCAAAAACAGACGAAAAGACAAACAGTACACAAAATACAACAAAGAACGCTACTGAGCAACACGAACCCTACCAAAAAACCTGGGGGGGGGGGGGGGGGGGATCTCAGGTGCTCAGGCAAGCAGATTCTGCTCCGCATGTGGCATCCGTCATGTTGCTCAGGTACAATTGGAACATAAAATAACCAGGCTCCTTTCGACTTTCCGTTCTGATAATTATCATCTCAACCAATGAGTGTAGCATTACAAAAAAATCTGAAGTAGAATGGAGCAATGTCCGATCTTTGCAAGTGTAACCTTGAAACAGGATATGTACTTCAATCAGATTATTTTAGTTTTGGATATCTTCAAAGTGTAAAATTTTACAAAAATGTAAGGTCTGAAATATTTTACCTTAACTATCTCTCAATAGGAAATTGTTGCACAAAGAAAACACCACTCTGATCTTGTGAGACCAAAAACACTCATTACTTAGGTCTTTATCCAATTGGTTGAGAAACACTAACTAGAGGCTCTCATGAGCCTGGATTCCCTGGCAAACATATGCAACAATAAAATCATGAGCAACAGTCAGCCATTGTTCACACAATGAAGAAGATTTTAACCTAATATGTCTACATGTTAGATGTTTGAAGTCTCTATCTATCTATTGTTTTTCAAGATAATAGCCAAAAATGCAACAAAATGGGTAAATTTTTCATTTAAAGGCAATAACTCCTTAAAGGAATCAACGGACTATTTCGGCTAAGCAGACATATTTTTATATCTTGTCATACTGATAATTTTTTTCTTATATATTTAAAGTCTCTTTCTTACAGTAATACTCTCAGTAGTTTTCAAGATTGCCAAATTTGCTTAGATATTGACATAACCCCACAATAGATTGTTAGATTTCTCCGAAAACTTCTAGAAGAATAAGATCTGGTAATTTTACCTTTGTCAGTTTTGTTCTAACTTTTATGTATTATGTTGCATATAAGGCAAAAAACCTGCGGTTTTGTTCTATTTATAGTAAGTTGCTATGTTTGCTGGTCCAGGATCAAATTTTGACAGAAGATACCCCAATGTTGATTGTGGTCAAGTTTGGTCCTAATCACTTCAGCAGTTTCAGAGATGAAGGATTTAAAAAAAATGTTAACAAAGAGAACAGATCTCAGATGGCAGCAGACACTGAACGATGACAGCAACAGACTGATGCCAAGTGATGGCAATAGCTCATAGGGACTTTTGATCAAGGTAAGCTTATAAAAAAACAACTCGTTTTATGAATGCATAATTTCTATTCAACTGTTTATTACAATAATGTAATTGTGTATAAAACTTATATATTTTGATTAAGGCTTAGATAAGCACTACAGAAAATATAACTATATATTATATTATAAATTATATTATAAATTTCATACATCCAGGACATTATTACAGACTCCTGAATGTCAGCCAGCCTAGACTGACTAAACTAAATTTTAATATGGTCATATGTTGTATAGATGTCTAATGATGCATCCATTCTAATGATTCATTTTCATATTGTTTTTACAAAGTTGATGCTTTCCAAAATCAGTAAATAGGTATTATTATTTTTCTGTATCTTACAAGATTTAATTCAGGGCTGAAAATGAGATTTTAAGGCACTACTTTAAAATAAAATTGAGAATGGAAATGGGGAATGTGTCAAAGAGACAACGACCCAACCATAGAGCAGACAACAGTCGAAGGCCATCAATGGGTCTTCAATGCAGCGAGAAACTCCTGCACCCGGAGGCTTTACTTTATAACCTGTAAAGCTGAAATCTTTCTCATGACAGTTAACTTAATAGCTTGTAACATCATTACTAATATAAATACATTTTATCACAAATACAAGACAAATGGAAGACAAAATCCTCAGGTCTATGTATATTCCTTTTGAATAAAAATATCTAACAAGATAGCAAGTACAAAAATAATGAAACCATAGCTTGATTGATTCATTGTCCAGTAGTGAAATATTTTGTGTGCTAAAAATTTATCCTACTTCAGTGTTGTTTTTATTTGAAAAAAATCTTAAACTGAAACAAAAAAAGTAATTGGACAATTGACTATTTATAAGGGAAAAGCAATAAAGTACTGTAAAATATCATTATAATGCCCTTTAACTATTTATTTATAAGAATTGACTAGATATGAGAGGGTAGTTCTAGATTTCCTCTGTGATATATATAGTGAGTTTCTTTGATAAATTAGTTTCAGAGTAGCAACAAAATTGCTAAAATTCCACACTTCTTCAATAAAAACTAAATAAAGCATTAAATTTCTACCAATAAAATGATTGTATTTCTGGCTTAGATTTTGTTTGCAAACTAAGGGCAAAAGTTGTACATAATAAGTTACTGTCACTTTATATACAATAATCAACATCAAGTAAGACTGTTTAAAATTATCAGAAAGGTGAAATATGCATAGAAGTTCCACAAATATGATTACTTTTCATATCAGGATTCAATAAAAAAAAAAACCTCAAAGACTATCAGTTTAATAAATAGGTGGATGAAAACCTTTCCAATGATATGTTATAACTGATATCATTTATGTGAAACTACTAAGGTGTTTTTTTTACAGTGAGAATTATATTTTACTCATTCGTGTGTTTATACTTTCTAATAAATATGAAAGACATCAATCATAAATCAACAATTTTATGTAAAATATTTGCACTACCAAAATAAATGTAACATTTTTTTAAGGATAAACATATAATTAATAAATTATATCATTAGGCAAAATACAGTGGTTGAATTGCTTTGATTTTCCCCCTACAAATAGGACATTCTTTCACCCTCAACTTATTGCTACAATTTTGACAACAACATACATGTTTACATGGTAAAAATAAAACTTCAACAGGATTGTCTAGACATATTTTACATTGGAATCTCTCATCTGTGATCCAATTTGCCTGAATGGCACTCTTCTGTGTCTTGTAGTCTGGTCTTTTGCCTTTAGATTTCTGATCTTGCACAGGGGTTTCTGTAATAATAACAGTATATAACACAGGCATATTAATTTGCTAATGGCTTAAACTGAATAATAATAAAACTTTTAACCTCACTGTTTTTTCTCGTACAGGTTCTTATTAATTACTGTAAGTTGCAACAAACCTATATGTACTGACAGTTTAAATCTACCTTTGTTATGTTTTGACTTAAAAACCACATGTGTATAAATGAGTTCTGATTGCTAAAATCTACCAGCACTGATGCTCATTGTCTAGTGAAATCTACCTGTACTGATGCTTGTCTAGTGAAATCTACCTGTACTGATGCTCATTGTCTAGTGAAATCTACCTGTACTGATGCTCATTGTCTAGTGAAATCTACCTGTACTGATGTTCATTGTCTAGTGAAATCTACCTGTACTGATGCTCATTGTCTAGTGATCAAAAATTCATAACTGGTCGCCATTTAGGCTATTAGAAAATTGAAAATCTGGCGACTGTAAATTTTCGTAAATTTTGCCCTGATCAGTCTGGTTTTTAAAAAATCGTCTGAGCGCTTGACAGTAACACAACACTAGTGAAATCTACCTGTACTGATGCTCATTGTCTAGTGAAATGTACCTGTACTGATGCTTATTGTCTAGTGAAATCTACCTGTACTGATGACATTCACTCAGTAAAATCTACATGTACATTCTGCAAAGTACTGAAGACTTTGCCCAACACCACAAATCTATATATTAAGTGTCTTGCTCTAAACATTTTTGTACATGACAATTCAATTCATTTAAGAATTGAATGCATCCTCTTGTAACTTTATTGAGGTGTAAAAGCTTTGACCGATGTACATTTTGCTTTTACAGCCATATAAAATTACAAAAAGAAGCATCCTATTCTTATAATTAAAGAACCTTTGTGAGCACGATCACATACCCCCACGCCCTCACATTGTCACTGGGCAAACAAAATCTCAACAGATTCCTAAGTTCAAAGACTCATACTGCTACAAAAGTAAAATGATAAAAATTTCTTGTGGATATGCACATCTACATATCATGTCCTTATTATCTACAAAGATTCATGAAATTCTGTAGTGTGGTTTCAGAGGAGTTGCCAAGACGAACTGTTGCAGTAGTATATTTAGGCCAAAATTCTAAGTTCAAAGGGGCATTACTCATCGAAAAAAAAAACAGAATCATAATTTTCTGTCGATATGCACATCTACATAGTATGTCCTTATTATCTACAAAGTTTCATGAAATCTTGTAGTATGGTTTCAGAGATGTTGAGATGACAAGAACAGGACTGACAGACCGTTCAAAAACATTATACCCTACGCAATAAAGTTGCGTCCGGTATAATTACTTGTTTATGATATACAACCATGAAATTACAAGTTATAGCAAATTTTGTTTTCTTCCTATGCATTGATGTGTTGTGGTCATGAGAAGCATGTGCTGTCAAGAATGATGAATATTATGAAGAAATACAAGTTGATATTGGAATGCCTCATGATAACTTTCAGCCAATCAAAAGTACAGTTATTTATGAAACCTACATGTAATGTAATTATATAAATATGCAGCAGTCTTTTCAAGTTCTCGGTTGCTATGAATAATAAATCAACTACTTGGTTTATTTTTGCATCAGATTTTGTTCACAGTTACGGCCTTTTATAGATGGGAGTTGAATTTTTACTGTGAATATTATTTGCATTTCACAGCATAATAGGTGTAATACCACCATTGTTTTCCTCTATTAGTCTTTGTTCAATTTGCACTTTTCAAAAAATTGTGCAGAATTATCTTTGTTTCAAATAAAGAAATACTTGGCAGGAGTAAAGTTTTATCCTGTCCAGTACTACAGACAAAATTTCACATTACATTTCATTGCATATAAGATAATAACCATCACTGGAAGTTAACCAATCAAATTTCCACCCCTTTCTTTCCTGTTTACAAGCTTTAGTAACCATGTAACCTCAAGTTTCCAAAATATTCTATAGAAACACCATATAAAAAAAGAATGGTGCTTTGAAACACCCAAGATATATGTTTATGACTCAGAAATTTTTTACTGCAATGAAATATAAGATTAATTTCCTACAACTGTCAAATTCAAGGGAATATTTTTTAGGACCCTTTTTTGTATGCAACCTGATATGACGTACTATGATTTGGTGGTATTACACCTTTTACAACTCATTTAAATCAACAGTACAATGTCTACAGTGAAAATTAGACACACACGAAAATTTCAGGATAGATTATATATCAAGTCCATAAAATATTTGTAAAGTAGGTATGTCTATCTGACTGGAGTCCCCTGACCTTGACCTCCCTTTCATAGTTCAATGATCAACATGAAGTTGTTGTCTTTTGTGAGATGTTTTAAGAGTTGTACACAGCTATTAACCAAAGGCAAGACATATACCTGGAGTAACAGGAGGTTGACCAGATGTGTAACCTGTAGCACCCTGGGTAGATGGTTCTGTTTCCTGGCTGACTCTCAACTGTTCTAATTCATCCACAAGGTCTTCATAACTTTCAGGGCATGGAACTACAAAAATATAAATACTGCAGTGTTACAATGTACAAATCACTAGGTTTTTTAGAAACTTTACTTTCATCTCCTTTTTTATTATTTTCCTTTCAAATATAATTAATAAATTTCATATTTTGAAATAATAAAACACTTTATTTCAGCTTCATTAAGTTGAAACATCTAAACAAAAGTTTTGATTCAAACATATAAAATATTCCAATGACTATATTCCATGTTATTTGCATCAATTTTTTTTTAGTATCTGTTTGGTCAGTATAATGTCAACTATTTTCTACTTAAACCAAAAAACTAGATGATTGGAAAGTCATTTTGGTATATGGTGTATAAGAAAATTGATATTTAGATTTACTGTTAAGGGAAGCAGTTTGTAAAATGATTTATCCTGTGTTTACCCCAACTTTTTGGTTCTTTTTATATTTGATATCCTATGAGTTAATTGCATGATGATAGGATAGGATTTAACACATTTTCTGGAACATATATTGAATTGTAATCCGGGTATTCACTCATACCGTAAACCAAAAATATTTCAACATTAGTTTATGGGTAAAATACATCGGGGTCTCTTCCTATATAAAGGTAGATGTGCTGCAGGTATGGGTCACTTTTTGGAAATGTTGACTATATCAGTGGGATGCAATTTCACAGAGGTAATATAACAATAGAAAATTAATATGTCAATGGGTAATAAATGTTCATTTTCTACAAAGATGTCTTTAAAAACTATGCACTGATCTTTTTATAAAATGATATGAATGATCACATGCGGTTAACACCTAAATAAAATGCCACAGATTGCAAGTATGATACCTGGTAAATATATAAATGGGTTATGATTTTTCTATGAAAATATAAGTAAAGGTAGGGATTTTTTCTTCTTTGAAGAATCAATTAATAATGGGGATTGGTTTAAAACCCAAGCTGAATTTCTAATCCCAAATTTTTATGCTGAGATCCCCGATTTCCTCCCCATGCAAAAAAACCCCAACATGTGTCCATATGCATACAGAAAATAGATTAACTAAGGTAAAAGGGAAAATCCACAGACCATATTTTAATTTGGTATGTCCTTCAAATTCCTTCTATTTCTGGCTAATATAGTTGAAGATAAGGAAGAAACTCAAAAGTTTTTACCAAGATTTCTAATGTTTGACTGAGAATGATATCACTGAAGGACATTTTCTTACATCCATTTCTTATCACATATTCTTTATGAATATTCAGTAGGTCTTCGGTATATCCATTTCGCCTTGCTATCATCCGATATGTTTCAGATCTCTGCTTTTTTAAGGCTTGTTGACAATCTTGACCATTCTCCGTAATGAAAGGACAAGCTGGGAACCAACGTTTGTGTTCTTCCCATGGTACATCTGGATCATCCCAGTACCGTAACAATCCACCACAATGGAAACACTTCACAGAATCTCCAGTTCCTAAATGAAAAAGAAAACAATTATTTTACAAAGTTAAACTATAAGTAACTCTCAATAGAGACATACACATTTAAAATCCTACTGACTAAAGAAAAGGTAAATTTTTAGTCTTATTTGGCCTTTCAAATTTTTTCCAAATAAAAAGCAAATAATACCAATACTATCGATCACTACCTATAAATTAATCAATTTTGCATAATTTTATAGAAAAGACGCTGTTTTCTCAAGGTTTCAACTTCTTTTGTCAATGTAAATTAACAGGGTTTTTTCATGGCAAATTATAGTAATAGATTACAATAGCCCTTAAAAGTCATGTGAACTAAAAAGTATTTGTAAACAAAAAATGAAAGTTTGTAGAACTGGTACATTTATTTGCTACAAATTTCAACCTAGCTTTACAAAACATGACTGTTAATAAAGATCTCATACATGTAGTTAGAGGTATTGATTAACAAACATTTAAAAGAAGGTCCAACTGTGTATTGCTGAGCCTAAGATATTGCTTTCATACTGGCAAATGTTACATGTACATGTTTAATATGCTTCTCATAAACTATAATTTTAATTTAAATCATAAAGATATTCTTAATACATAATAACTAATAAAACCTCAGAGTTTTTTTTTAAAAGATATTTTACCTAAATAGAAAAATCCAGCACAAGCCAAATCTTCCGGTTTTTGTTTTTTATCTGATGGCCAACCTTGGAACGACCTCAATCTAATTTCCCTGCTTTTATATTCAGAATGTTTTGGATTGATGGGTCGATTGTTTGATCTAACATCCTCTTGGTGTGGAATATTTCCAGCAGTTTCGGCATTAACGATAAATGGACAATTAGAAGCGTGTTTCTTATGTTCAGCTACAACACTGTCCCCACATACCCATTTTTTAAGAATAATATTACAGAAGATACACTTCACCCTGTCACCATCACCAAGGTAACAAAATCCATTTTTGGCTAAGGAATATTTATCTACATTTGCAGTCACAGGCCAGTTGTCAAATGTTTCCAGTCTATAATGTTCATAACGTAAATAATCTTCTGGTCCCCTGTTTAACTGATCATCACTGCTGTTGCGAGGAAATCCATCAACAAAATCTTCTGTTCCCACCTCAGGCATGATAATTTAGTCTCTGAAAACAAAACATGTATATGTATAAGTGAACAATAAATAAAATAACTTTAAAATTTCTCAGAAAAAATGCTGTACATCTTATAATTAACTACTGTGTTTATAAGTGTTTAATTCTCACAATGGCAGAACAGTAAAATTCTGGGACAGTCCAAGTTGGAATTATCTATAATATTTATAACCCATACTGTTAAAAATTTTGACAAAACCCTTCAGGAAAAGCTTTAATCCAGTCTGACTGAAGCCAGCCCACACTGTCTACTTGCCTACAAATGCAAGTAGATAGTGGGGGATGGGTTGAGTCAGACTGGCTTTAATCAATAAATAATTGTTGGCAGTACAGATTCCAAATAAGCATTCTAACTTTCCTTTAGTTTTTCTATCCTTTGTTTATTTGTTTGTTGTTGTTAACACCTCTTTCAGCAACCTTGACTATATCATGGTGGCCAGATTTTATTAGTGGAGGAAGCTGTTGTACCTGTTGAGAACCAGCAACCTTCAGAATTAAAACTGTAATCCTTGTCAAATAAGGTAAGGCTTGATTAGGAAGTCAGTTCATTTAAAATCAAGTCTTAAGATTTAGTTCTGTATAAACTGCTGAGTGAATCAGTCTATAGATTCTACTCCTCCTACACATGTATATAGATTGTATCATCAACTACAAACCCAAATTAGGAAATTTTGAAAGGTACATGTACCAGGTGATGAAACTTGAATAACATACACGACCTAGGTTAAAAACAATTAACATGGAGTAAAATAATCATTGCTCAAATTGTTAATTTTATTCACACCTTATGGACTCATCCCATCAAAAAATTATTAAAATCTATCCCTTACAATACAAATTGTAATAAACCTAAATCATGGGTCATGTAAAAATCATTCTATACAAAGACAACAACTTTTTTAAACTTACTTATAAATATGCTAAATAATCAAACTTTGAAAGAAATTAAAAGGTTTCTTTTTCCTCATTCTTACAATAGATGATGTTGATTCAAGATTTGTTGTAAAATTTTAGAAATTTTTATCTCGTTTTCCTGTTGACCTAATATCACCTTATATAATATACTTATATTACTACAATTTCAATTTAACTGCTAACTAATTGTTAAACACTGTAACTACCAATAGATACCTTCCTTTGAATATACAAAAAGACTGTTACTCTACCATGAAAATGACCTGCCATATGTATTCCCCCCTGCCATATGTATTCCCCTAAATTTCAACCTATAAGTATAAGGGCTATACAAAGGTAATGATCAAACAAACAATTTCATTAGAGTAACCCAGATACATTAAATGTTTTATGATATTAATACTCTATTAAGGTCTGCATGGTACATTATACATTTATCAATTCATTTAATCCATTCAAACTACATGTATATGTCTGATATCAAGCTAATCAAAGTAATAGATTCAGGCCTACACCTGTACATTGTGTACATATATACAAATGTATGTACATTATATCTTCATTTTTGCATTTCAATAATACACATAGTTCTAGTACTAAATAGATTGAAGACCTATGGTTGCTAACTTCTACATCATTTGATCTCTGGTTGAGAGTTGTCTCATTGGCGATTGCAATCATAACACATCTTTTATAATTTTTTTATATAGATCAATTATTCTTTATTTTCACATAAATATAAATATCATTTCTTTTTGAATAAAAATAATTATGCTATAATTCACAGTATGTTGTAAACATGAACTAATTATTTTTGAACCAACATAAAAAAAATTCTGTCATAGCCAGTTTGCTGAAATTAACCTATTGTTTAAAAAATTGTATTCATATGTATACTCATAAAGTTCAACTGTAGATTTAATTATTTAAAAAATAATCAGAACTTAATCAACATTTTGATCATATATCAACCTACCTTTTCAAACAATTTAAATTTAATTGACACAGATAAATACAAATATGTATACATAAGAATGTAAAATAGTTTTATTGTTTACTTGAGTACAAAAATGTAAGTTGAAGGTCAATTTTAAGACGAACCTTATTTCTTGTATATATTTCCTATCCTTACATTGACACCTACAATAGTTTATAGTTACCTACTTGTATTTACTTTCGTAGATGATTTAAACATGATAAAAACCTTTGACGTATATACCCTTCCTCTAGCATGTCTAGTCAATTTCCTTGGAAAATAAAGCAGGTATAACAAAATACATTTTTTGATTTTAAAAATAATACATTTTTATTTTCATTTTTGATGAAATTGTATCATTTTTTTAAGGTACATCCTCCATGTACATCAAAATATAAGATATAGTAATTATTTATGTCACATGAAGTTGAACTGGCTTAATTGGCTGGAGGCAGAGACTTGTTGATCAACAAATGATTTATGTATATATACTACTGAAACTTTTATCATAATTTCTATCACCTTGATACAGCCAGCTAGAGCTTAAAACATCAAGAATCAATCAACATGATCAATCAATTAATCAATCTTGATTTCACTCCATATTATGTACATGTACATGATCTAAAAGCATCTTGACTGCTAATTATTAAGGATTCACCTTGGTCAGCAGAATCACAATTCTATACTTTAGTTTTATAACATTCAAAGATCATAACAGAAGAAGAACCCCTGCAGTCTTCTCATGGTAGTGAGTTCAATTTGAGTGCACACGGTTGTGGGCCTAATCCTTGATTTGGTCAAACCAAAGACTTAAAAATTGTCATTTGCTAATTCTACGCTAAGCATGCAGCATTAGGAGTTGAGCAAACACTGGTCAGCTGAACTCTGTCAGACAGACATATACACCTTACAATTATTACATACACCATATATAGTTGACATATATTGATTACAGTATCTGAGAAACAAAACTTACCACAAAAACTTAATGATCACCAAATAAACCATGAAAAAGGTCAAGGTCAGGTAATCTCTGCCAGAATGAAATGAACATCTTTAACTATCAAAAACCCATACACCAAAAATAATTGACCTTTTATAAATAGTATCTTAGAAACAGATCTAGACTGTTGAGTATGATAACCCCGCAAAATATAATATTGACAAATGAACCATGAAAATGAGGTCAAGGTCAGATTAGCTTTGGCAAATTTTGTACATCTTAAAATCATTCAATACACCAATACATTATTCAGGTGACCTATTGCTTATAGTACAATGTATCTGACATGCAGACTTGAACAAGAAAGCTGAACCTTGATCAATCATCCATGATATGAGGTGAAGATCAGGTGAAGCATGACTGATGGACATGTAGATCTTGCAGAGATTCTATACCAAATATACATGTACACTGTAGTTGTATTATGCTCTATCATTCATAATAATTGAGACAGATCATGAAGCAGTAGCTGAACCATGAAAATGAGGTCAAACATGTCAAGGACAATAGACATATACATATACCAGACAGAAACTTTATAACATAACTTCATAAGGCATCTGTATACAAGATATGAAGTACCCAGGTCTTCTACCTTCTAAAATATAAAGCTTTAGGCAAAGAGTTTACGCTGCCTTCACTGTCTCCAAATGTCTAACATACAGGCTAAAGAAAAATTGTGTTACTAAAACTTCATCTGAGATCTTTGATTACATGTTGAGTAAAACAATATTCTGAATGGTATCAAACATGTTAAATGATTATTTAAAGTATGGTTCACAAGTTAGTACAGGTAAGGCAATATTGATTTCATTTGCTTTTTCTCTGTAAAAATGATAAAAAGTCAAGGATGCATCATTAAGTCACTTACAGCTCAAATCTTACACAAATTATGATTTATTTTCATCTCTAGTCCTTCATAGATCTATCAAAATTGCAAAAGCTATCACAAATCTGATCAACTGATTAAAGTGTTAAAGTCTTCAAGATTAACTTTTGCAGCAACAGGCCTGAGTCACCTGATGCTAAATTTTTGGAAAATTTTGTATAGATTATATTGGCCTGTCTAAGACTCTAAGAAATTCTTACATAACCCATATAAATTTTACAATCCATGGCTGGTTGGCCTGTGGCAAGGCATAAAGACTGGACTCTCTTAGGGATTTTTACAAGGAATTATAAGAAAATACTCCATCCAAATATGCCATTACAAAATAAGCTAGAAGGCTTCAAGGACAAAGGAAGGAGCCTAAATCACTTCCCTACAGTTATAATGGCCTACAACTACTGAATGTCTGAGCAATCATATGCAGCCATGTTATAATCATTGGCTACAGGTAATTTTTGCAAATTTCATACACTGTCACAAAATTAATTTCCAATACTTTTCAATGTTCCAGATAAGACTAAGGACAGAACTTTAAAATGAAGATTGATATTTTCTGTCTGAAAGGGGACATTACTTTACGTCATTTGATCATGTTTATAAATAAAAAACTCTAATAATTAAGGGGACATTACTTTACGTCATTTGATCATGTTTATAAATAAAAAACTCTAATAATTGACAATTTACTGAATTAATAGTACTTTTGGATTGTAAATTAAGCTGTAGACATAAACTAGGTTTCAATTTTTATTACCAAAACAATTTTTTCACAAATGGTGTATGATTAAAGTTGATTGCAAGTTATACTGAAAAGTTCATAACTTACAATTATTTTTCTCAGAAGTTTTTTTTTTTGGAAAAAAATCCCCAATCTTTTCACAATTTCAAGGGTCTTGAAGTTATGTTTTTTATCATACAACTTATTGACTTGAAGAAAGCAATAGTTGCAATATTTTGAAACAAATATTTTTTCCTTTAAACATTGACTTATTGAAATCATATTTTATTTTGAAATAAAGGGAGACAATACATAGAACATACAACTTGGACCTCTATTTATAAGTCAAAAGTAAAATTAGATTTATTTATATCTGAGCTCTGACTGTGTATGTTATTGTATCCTTTATCCTCTAGGTTTCATACTAAGTTCATAAACAGCAAACATTTCATCCTGATGTGTTCACATGAAATTTAATTCAATTCCTATCAATAAGGAATTCTCATCATCAATTTGGTTAACATTCTTAAATGCATGTGAATTAATGTATATCCATTGTTCTCCTCAGAAATTTCTTATATCATCCTGGTAAACAGGAGATTATGAAATACCTTCTTGTTCCTAGAAATTATAGCATCAAATCCATAACACTATCTATAAGAAACTAATTTCAGATAGCATCACATTACCATGATTCTAAAAGGCCCTGGGGAGAACACTGATACCATGATTATGTTTTATTACTTTAATACATGTAGTACAATGCTGTCAGCTAATGTGACACAACTGAGATGAGTCATTGTGCAAATATTGTGTGAGATGAGAGAATCACTTAACTCCTAATGTTTTCAGTGTTTAAATCAGGATAACATTTTTTATCTTTTGAATTTTACATTTGTACATTGGTCTTTTTGTAAATAATTATACAAAAATTAATAAAAATTTAACAGAAGGTGACCAGGCATCCCTCTTTTTATGCAAAGTCTGATAGAAGGCTAATTTCATATACCAACTGTTCTTAATAAGCCAGTCTACAAAATTTTGTTCATTTACATGTATTGATGAATTATTCAGACAGGAGTGATTGATTGATTTATTGGTGTAAATGCCACTTTCAGCACTATTGTGCTATTTCGTTGCAGTCAGTTTTTAATGATGGAGGAAGCCGGAGTGCCCGGAGAGATCTACTGACTTATGGTACGAGAACTGACTATCCTAAATTAATTAAATGTGTTTTATTAACCTACTTAGCTTAGAATAAGTTATTTATACTTTGAGTAAAAGTGACATATACATGTATCTCAAAAATGTACTTTAAAAATAAGAGGATGCGTCTGGTTTAAACATGTTTGAGGGGCTTTTGAGGGCGGCCAACCCTTAATTATCAATATAAGCAGTATTACACCATGTAAACCATATAAATTAGGGTTTTCAGGTAATATCAATCAGTTTAAGGTTTTAACTATTTTTTAACGTTTTTATGTCATCTAGATACGGCTGACTACATGCGCAACCTAATCATTAGAAAACCCTCTTCACCATTTACAATGTAGTCACCATTCATCAGTTGTTTCATTGTAAAGTGCAGTACATCAGAGATGTTTCTGTAAATTTTGTGACAAACAATAACAAAAAAGCATGAAAACATTAGAATGGTCACTCTCACAGAAAACCAAGTGCAATGTAGCAATGCATTAAAACATATTAGTAATTATAACATACATTTTGTACAGACCAACTGCTAGAACCAGCTTAAATTTTACATACCAGCAACTCTGTCACACTGCAATCTTATCACAAGTGATACTTTAAATGAAAAATTATTGGGGAAATTACGAAATATATTGTTTGAAAAGAAACTATTATAAGAGGTGG